ATATTGAGCATCATGGTGGGGGTAGGGGATTGTGAAAGCTTGTACTGTAAGTACACCACATGTCTACACATATAGTACCATAGCATGGTAGATATAGGGTTGTGACTGCTTGTACTGTAACTACACCACATGTCTACATATGTAGTTTCAAGCCATGGTGAGTAGGGTATTGTGATAGCTTGTACTGTAACTTCATAACCTGTCTAAACATGAAAAAAACATATATAATATAACATATTATTGTAGAACGAAATTTGAAAATTAGGGTAGCCTAGTGGACATGGCATCTGCCCGGTAAGCGGAACACTGTGGGTTCGATTCCCATCCCTGGACACTTTATTTTTCAGTTTATCATTATTCTTCACAATTTATCCTTTCATACTTCATCTCTAAGGTTAGAAATAATAGTTATTTCTCCTTAAAATAAATTTCGATTTTTCGTTCAGAAGAAACACATACGGGATAATTTTCAAATGTCGTTCTACAATCATAAGCCACATTATAACATATTATAATTAGATGAGAGAGCTTGGCTCGATAGTAATGAACCCTCTCAGAGGATTTCTGTAGATCTATTATTTTATAATATACATATAAAAAAAACCACATTGACACAAATAGTGTTTGGAAATTTTATCGATAGATGGCAAATGAATTTATTATTGTAAATTGTTAATAATAGCTTTAACATGAAGAAATATTTTCGGAAGAGCATTGCTTGATGCATTTTGTAGTAATTATATGTTTGCACCTCTGCAGACCTATAAACTTATGCCCATGTCGAATATGTAAGAAAAACAAAATGCAATACAATAGTAGAGCGGTCTGGAGATTAATTTGGCGAAACCGCTGAGAGGGTTTACCACTAAATTATTTGATAAGAGGGCTTAGCTCATTTTATAATTTCTATTATTGTAGTAAGGTCTGTAGAGATAACATTTAATAATATATATATGCACAAGAAAATTATAGCCAAAATATATAATAATTATTAATAAAAATTTCATCGATAGATAAATTGCTATATTTTAACATGTAAAATACTTCTAATTATTAAGAAAAAAGCATCTCCTTATCGTGCAACTGAAAGTTGCTGATGGCGCAAGCCATACACGATAAGGAGATGCTTTTTTCTTAATTTATGCACCTTATCCCAGTACAATATTACATTTGTACTATTTTTTCACTTCTAATTATTTATTAAAATTAAAGATACTTTGGCCAGTATAAATCTTATCTCGACGTTTCGAAAAAAAAAAATTTGTTCTCGTCAGGAGCGAACAAAAATTAAAACATTTGACAATGCGTTAAAGATTTTTGTAGAAACGTCGAGATAATAAAAAAATGTATACTGGCCGAAGTATCTGTTTTATAAAGAACTATGAATGCCGGCCAGGCAGCCTCTATGATACTTCTAATTATGTATCTAGAGATAGATAGAGGAATCTCTTCCTTTAATTATACTTCAGAACGATACATAATCAAAGGGAGAGGTAGGTAGGTAGGTAAGATCCTCCCGCAACTTTATGTTGACTTCTAATTTTATATTTATAATGTGTGTCAACTATGTTTAGTGTCAATTTTAATTTTGCGATCACTCACGAGGTTTGACCACTGCTGCCAACCACACACGGTTAAATACGATGTAAAATAAATAGAAATAAATAATTTAAGGTGAGATCGTGGAGTTTACAGACATTTAAGAAAATTCACAGTCGACTTGAGAAATGGTGGGCGAGAGAGTGTTCCCGCCCCGCCCTCTTTACCTAAGTACTCCTTTGTTTCAAGAAGGAAGTCATTAGAATGGTCACGTGTGTCTCCCAGGGTGGTGGACATCTGACCCCGCTACTGAGAGGGTTCTCCACTGATGAGCCAAGCCCTCTTAGCTAATATCATTGCGATATAAAGTCTGTATTGTGATTTGAATGGAATAGAAAAGAAATAGCATAATCGAAAAAGGTTCATAATTTTATTTGAAGGCATGAAACTATGGTATTAAGTAATGCCAGTAGTGCCGTGGAGATTGTAAAAGAATTAGCTTAAATATATTTATACATATGAATATAGATATAGCGCTAAATGTAACTGAAAACTTTTTAACCAACTTCGTTCTTTATATACCCTCATGGACAAAACTTAAGGAAGTTGTACACTGTATTCTCATGGACAAAACTTAAGGAAGTTGTACACTGTATTCTCATAGACAAAACTTAAGGAAGTTGTACACTGTATTCTCATGGACAAAACTTAAGGAAGTTGTACACTGTATTCTCATAGACAAAAATTAAGGAAGTTGTACACTGTATTCTCATGAACAAAACTTAAGGAAGTTGTACACTGTATTCTCATGAACAAAACTTAAGGAAGTTGTACACTGTATTCTCATAGACAAAACTTAAGGAAGTTGTACACTGTATTCTCATGGACAAAACTTAAGTACACTGTATTCTCATGGACAAAACTTAAGGAAGTTGTACATTGTATTCTCATGGACAAAACTTAAGGAAGTTGTACACTGTATTCTCATGAACAAAACTTAAGGAAGTTGTACACTGTATTCTCATGAACAAAACTTAAGGAAGTTGTACACTGTATTCCCATAGACAAAACTTAAGGAAGTTGTAACTTTTAGCACGTATATCGGGACAATAACTCTGAAACTTAAAAATGTAATTCTTGGACAATTTCGGGAGAAGAGACTACGATGTCATCCAAAGACTGTTCATGAAGAGGATATTTAAATCGAAATTAATCTTTAAAACGAAATGAACATCAATTTCATATTATCACAGAAACCATATGTGTCTATTCGCTGTGTAAGTTGGGTCGTGTATCTCAAAAATGAATTTCACAAAAAAGGGTAAACGTTTCTGACACAGCCGAAGTGTATTTTATTTTAAAGAACTATTAATGCCGGCCAGGAGACTTCAAGATATTGTATTATTTTTTGTTGAAATTTATTCAAGAAAAATGAACAAGACCTTTAAAATCTAAACAAGGTAATCAACAAAGTTTTTATCTTTGATTTTCTTCTTCTTGATTTTTTAAGCCATGGTTGTCATCGTTCAAGCCATTCATTTGACTGGCGTTTTGTCTCCGGATCATACGCGTAAACCCCTGCTTCATCACCTGTGATTGTTTATTTCAGCATGTCTCGGTTATTCTGGTAGCTTCCAAAAGAATTTCACAAATAGAAAATGTAGCCTCTCATTGTTCCGTTGTTAACAATATAGAGACAAGCTGAGCTGCTACTCTTACAATATTCAAATATTTTAGCTTATTATTGATTACACCAATCCGTACGATATCTCTAATTGTCTGCTCACCTCCCTGATTGTCATTCCAGGGTTTTCTCGCAAAAGGTTTTTGATTTGTTCGATATTTATCTGGTTTCTGATGATGCACGGTCGACCAGGTCGAACTTTGTCAAAGAGATTTTTTCTTCCATTTTTTTTTAAGTTGGCGTACCATTTGAAAACTTTTTCTCTGCTATAAGATTCATCTTCATACTCCTCTTTAATTAAAGTATTCGCCTCTGAAGCTGTTTTACCGAGTTTCAAACAAAGTTTAATAGCGATTCAATGCTTGATAAAAACTATCCAGTTTTTAAAGAAACTTTTTCGAAGAATTTTTTAGCAACGTTCATTTTGTAGAATAAATTCGAATCACGTACGTTCAGGACATGGTCAAATTGTATATTATTTAAAAGCGTAGATAATGAATATTGTCACGGTAGTGATGACAAGTATTACAAACAGTAAGAATAATTTATTGATTAGAATGCACAACTATTTTATAATTTACAAGTGATAATATACAAAGATGGTAAGGGGTGATGACTATGCAAATATTTTTATGATGATAAACCACAGTAAATTCAAAATAATTATTCTGTGGAAATATATTAATATAACAACGTTTATATTGTCTTATTTTCATTATATTTTAAAATACAGCCTTTTGTCTCCCTACTTAATGATCATATCTAATTAAAAGCTATTTCTATAACTCTTATATTGTAATGAATAAAAATTGAAAGATGGAGAACTTGGCTCATCAGTGATAAACCCTTCCAGCGGTTTGGCCAGTTACTCTAAGACATCAATACTGTCCCATTTCATCAATAATACATTCCCGGTAAGAACAGTGTGTGTTTGTTGTGTCCTATACTCATCCGATTGAAGGATCGAGAATTCCTGCACTCCATATATAACAAGAATAATGTGGTCAGGATGGATATCGCGGTCTATTACGAAGAAGAAACGGAGCACCTCCTCGAGCTACTCACGCCTGAAGACAAGATTCTTCTCGACAAATTCTTCGACATTATCATCAAACATGTTCCGAACATGAACTCCCCAAATGGCAGGGATCTGTCTAGATTCAAGGCGGCTTTAAGCTCCTGATCCGGACGTGCCCTCGGAGAGGGCTACGTCGATTTTAAATATCTCTCTTCATTCCTACCATTATTATTACCTTATAACTCCCTTTGAGTGTAAAGATTGACGAGATGTCAATAAAGTTGTTTAATTGTCAAAATTGTCACAGAGAGAGTTTATATATTGTAATTTTAAATTCAAAAAATAATTCCCTTGTATCAATGGTGAGTGAACATATTTTAAAATTTAAATCTTTAAATATACCGACACCACTTGAAAAACCTTTTTGCTCAAGTAAACAAGCCGCGTGTCAAGTTTTTCTCTTAAAAAAAGTTATTTTTTACTCCCCTTGGTTAGTAGTCAAATAACTGATGCGTCAACTTTGACATTTCTAAACTTATCAAAAATTACCAACACATGAAATACGTTTGAAGTGTTTACATTAAGTCAACCACAAACAGGAGAGATTGAGGGAAGTTGAATAGAGAGGTATATAATTACATATAGGTATAAATATACATGTAATTATGTTGTGTGCACTGTATTAGAAACAATTTTTTACGTAAAGATTTTCTAAAACATCCACAATGGTCGATCGCAGCAGACAAAGAATTCGTCCTACCAGTATTGCCCCCTAGTGGTAAAAAGCGGAACTATCGAAAATTGGTTTTCGATTTAATAAAATTATCTCATGTAATTTTTGTTTAAGTTTTTGAATAGGCTCTATATATATCAGACTATGTCGTCTGCTATCTCGATGTGTGAAATTTGATCGATTCAGTAGTTTCAGTGGAAAAGAATAGCAAACATCAATTTTTAGAGTATTTCATATAAGAATATACACTCATGGACAAAAGGAAGTTTCATATTTTGATTTCGCCGGTCGTCTGTTTTTATCGAAGGAGAGGCAATGTTGTTCAAACTTGGTTATCCCGTGTGTCTTCAATAAAGGTCA